GTGATGCGCGTCGCCCAGAGATGCGTCCCAGCGCCCGTGCAGCCGAGAGTCTAGGGTCCAAATATGCGCGCGGAGCAGCCGGGTAAGATGATTATAGCGATGCGTGCAGTGGTAAGGGCGGCCGGGGAGGAATGCTGTGCAAGTTTCGAGTCGTGTGCCTGACTACAAAGCATCCAGAATCGTCATCGGAAGCTAGAGTGAAGAAGCCCCGCGCTAGCCGTCGATTGCGTGCAATCAATTCGTCCGTAAAACCGCGGATGCTCGGAATCTGGAAGGGGCAGCAGCCGGGGGGAGTAATGCTCTGTATATACAAGCGGGCCAAACAGCAGACTCGGCGTCGGGCGTGCAGAGCGACGAGAAATTGATATGGGAGGGGTCGACGATGGGTGCTACCTCAGAGGCACAGGGCGCGCGGGTTGCCCTATTCGTAGCAACATCGGGAAGCTACGGCTAAGCCTCACCCATGCGGCGCCGCCTCAACTCCCATGTCGACAGCGGCTTTGGCATCTTCACCACACACGCCAAAGACTCTGTCCCGTCCCGAGGTCCCTCGGATCCCAACAGCTGCACCCGTGATACCCCCACCGCACCTCCTGCCTCAACGCCCTGCAAGTGTCCCGACCGTCTGCCTGTCCTGACGTCGCCGTCGCTGTACCTACCTGCTCCCGGCCGTGCTCTCGTCAACGGCCTCCCCGAAAATTTCAGATCCAGACCTGTTGAACAGAACCTTTCCAGAGTTTTTTCTGCCCTCCTCCAATCAGAGCCCGTGACCGCCTTTACCTACGCACGCTGTTTGTTTTTGGAAAGTGCGTCCATCTGCCCACAACATGTTCAGCTGGGCCAAGTCAACGTGAGTGCTACCCTCGCCTTCACACGTGCCTGCGCGACCGTGGCGCAGAGTACAGGGCGTGTACAGGACGCGTACTGACAAATGTAGACTAGCCGCGGTTGCCGGCACCCAAGAGCCCGAATACGGCCCCGATGCCATCCAGCCCGTGGGCAAGAAGGGTGGTGAGCCCGCCTACACCGAGCTGGCCAAGAAGGACCTGAAGTGGGTAACGCTCGACTACACCAACGTCGAGACGCAGACCTTCTACCTCTTCACCGATGCCGGACATAAGGGCTTCCTGCAGGTCATCTACAACAACATTGCGTAAGTCAAGTTCGCCAGATACCGCCGATCACAGCACTCACAGCTCGCAGTGGTCTACGAGTAACCGTGCAGTTCAACTGCAAGCTCTTCTACCCCAACAACGAGAAGCCTTTCCTCTGGGCAAGTGACCCCGTCTCAAACTACGGATTCGACGAGGACCAACATTCCTTCTACGCCGATGGCGTCTCGATCGAGCTCTCGGAAGATGGCAGCGCATACACCATCAAGGCGGCGGTGAACGACAACAGCATGGTCAACGTCAAGTTCACCAGGACTGCTCCCGGCTTCATGGGTGGAAAAGACGGCACAACCAACTACGGCACCGACCCCAAGGCGCCGTGGGGCTCCATGCACCACCACTTCTGGCCGCGCTGCAGCGTCGAGGGATCCATCATCACCAAGGAGGGTGAGGTTGACGTCAAGGGCCGCGGCATGTTGAGCCACGCTCTCCAGGGAATGAAGCCCCACCACGCCGGTAAGCATCTTGATACGCCTGTGAATACTCTGAACTAACAGTCATAGCTGCGCGGTGGAACTTTGTCAATTTCCAGTCGCCTTCATACTCCGCCATCCTGATGGAGTTCACCACTCCCGCCTCCTACGCGTCGACCGTCGTCCGAGTCGCCGGAATTGCCACCGACGGCAAGCTACTGTTCGCCAACACCGAAGGCGATGTGAAACACACCGAGACCAAGCAAGACGAGACCGGCTGGCCGGAGCCTACCTCGGCAAGCTACCACTGGGTGGGAAAGACCGAAGATGGCAAGGAGGTCACTGCGGACCTCGCTGGTGCTCTAGGAAAGAACATCGACCGCGTCGATGTCATGGCCGAGGTGCCGGGCTTCATCAAGACCATCGTCGCCAGCGCAGCTGGTACAAAGCCATACATCTACCAGTATGCGCCCAAGATGACCATCAAGGTCAAGGTTGGCGATGAGGTCAAGGAAGAGGAGGGTACATTGTTCACTGAAGCTACATTCATCTCGTAGATATGGTCTCAAACTTGGATATAAGGACCCACGACCCCAGATACATACACTAGTATTAATGCATCAGGGCTAGCACCTGGAAACTAATGAATAACGTTTGTCCCGCATATGACCTCTGAACTGTGAATTGTGAGCTATAATGACTATTACTCTTCGCATTCACCGCCAAACTGTGATGTACTCTGCTCTCAATTTCGTTGCCTGTAAGAAGCAAATGACCTAACCCCGCCATTGGACCCCACCTCCCTCCCTTCGTCGACTCATCTTCACATGAACACGCGACCGCGTCTGAACGCGTGACGTTGCGGCCCGTGCACCCGCACCACCAACACAGCCTCGTTGCCCGCTTTGCTCGAGCACAACAACATTTACGCAATATGGTCAACGAAAGGCCTGGGCAGTCAGGCGGCCCATCGCGCCCCGCACCGGCGGGCTGGCCACGGGCATCAGGATCCACAGTCTCGGCATCACCAGCTGCTCCCAGAGGCCTAAGACCTGGACTCGGGCTGGGCAAGGGCTCCGGTGGTCTCGGGAAGGGGAAAGGTTTAGGGAAAGCCAATCTCAAGAGGCATACGTGAGTACCAGTATATGCGTAGGGCGATGCAGGAGCTAAATGTTTGCAGGAAGATCCGAAAAGACAACATCTACGGGGTTACAAAAGGTGACATCCGGTAAGTAATCCCTGGTTACGAAAAAGGAACGACATGGGCAACGAGCTACCGTCTTTAACTTTGCACGATTCCATTTTGTGCGATCCCACAACAACCCAATAACATAATCCTAGACGTTTGGCTCGGCGTGGCGGCGTGAAGCGCATTTCCGCAACCATCTACGACGACGTGCGCCTGGCCCTCAGAGAGCGACTAGCAAGGGTCAGTCACTCAGGAACTAGAAGCTGCATGCAATGACTAACAGTCTATCAGATCCTGAAAGACTGCTGTGCGATCGTGGACTCCAGTGGACGCAAGACCGTCTCAGTCACCGACATTGTCTTTACCCTTCGACGAGTAAGTTCGAATTTCAGAAGCAGGGTACGAATGCTAATACTTGTGATAGCTCGGTAACCCTATATACGGCTTTGAGCCCCATTTTCTCAATAACCGCTGAGTGTACGTTATCACGACTTATCTTGCGCGGCGTCTACGCACGTGGCGCGCGCTGCTAGGGATGCTCAATGCTGAGCATGGAACGACCGTTCGCGCTTGACAAGCCCAATCGGCGAATCTCAGCATTGGACCATGCATAATGATGACGGTGTCCAGGATAGATCCACACGGATGTGTGATGAGTGGCACGGAGACGGATTTTCAGATTCAAGAGGATATGCATTTTCCTTCTTATTAGCGATGATACCCAATGCCATCCTATATGCCCCACTGCCGTAACCATGCTGGCCATTCACCATTTCTCAATCCCCTTTTTAAGTACCTCCATCGCTTGTTCCCACTCGCCTCCATCTCTACCCTCGCCCCAGCGTTCCCTGTACCACTGATCCAATGCGTTCAACAATCTCACTACCTCCCCTTGCATCGCCGCGGCCCCACTCTTATTCCTCTTCCAGGCCTTTTGCACACATTCCATCGTCAGCACCATGGTGTGATGCTTTAGAAACCGCTCCAACACCGCCTGCTCCTGCAGACCCGGCAAACCAAACGGATTATGATAGGGCGACTGCTCGAACGTATATCTCCATCTGATAGGCTTGTGTGGTGATCTGAAACACCAAAGGAACCAAGACGCCAGCCGACAGAAGACCAGGAAATGTGATTTATGTACATCCGACGGTACGGTGTAGATGTTCCCAAAAGGCTGACATGCTTTCCAATGATCCTGCATATATCCGTCGATCAGCCAGCCTTTGGGCGGATACGTGAAAGAGGTCTTTACACTAGGCAGAACGTTGATTTCCAAATGTCGGTTCCGAGACAAAAGAAGAGCGCGGTGTTGCTTTGGCAGTTCATCGATCCAACTCATGACAGGATGGAAATTCAGATTCCGGACTGCGAAGCTGAAGGTCGTGTCGGTGTAGTAGTCGTATGCTGCTTCGATCCTGATGGCGCGGCAGATATGCAGTAGAGGAGGTAGACGGCGCTGTCCGCGTTTGAGGATTGCGGGCCAGTTGTCGGAGATGTGGTGCGTTGAGGGGAGAACGAAGGTGTATATCAGACTGCGTAGCTCGGATGGAAGATTTGATAACAAGCATGGCTTTGAAGCGTCTTTAGCTTTGATGGCATACAAATCGCGGTTATAGGTGATCTGGTCTCTGGCTTGCGGAGTAAGGAGGGATGGTCGTTTGAGAGCTTTCTTTGGCGTTGAAGGAGCCTTTTCAAGTGCTTTCGTGGTCGTTGAGATTCTGGTCTTTTTGAGAGACGGTATTATCGACTCGTCGATGATGTGGGTCGTCTTCGAAGCCTTAGGGCTGGCCTTGGATGTAGAGGAGGATGTAGCGCGTGCATACGAAGGAGGTGCCATATCTTCAACGAAGTACTGGCGCGCTATTGAACCAAGAAGAAGTTGTACTTTGAGATCTCCATGGAAAGAGCACTTCACGCGACTGTGCCGCTCGAGTATCGTGCAACCTCACTAGCACCAACTCTTCGCTTATGCTGCCATATTTTGATTCGTATATCTCAAGAAGTTACAAAGGCTCCTGTTGTTAGCGTATTGTTGATGCATACTGCCTGCTTGAAGCTTGGAGGTCGATGCGTGGCGATGCCTGTGTCAGGCTGGCCACGTGACACCGTGAAAGTGGGGCTCGTTATCCATCGCGCTTCCCCGTACTGCTCATGTTTCCATCGTGCATCAGTCACCAACATCGCCACAAATTACAATTCGAATGCGCAACTTAGCGTGCGATCATGGCAGATGACATGGATATTTCGACGTCATCGCCACGTGGAACGAAAAGAAAAGGCGATGACAGTCTACCACTTCCCGCGCCGCGCCGAATCAAGGCACTATCGCAAGATGTCGTCAACAAAATCGCGGCCGGAGAAATCATTGTCGCGCCAGTGCACGCGTTGAAAGAGCTGATTGAGAATGCTGTTGATGCAGGGTCGACTGCATTGGAGGTCCTAGTTAAAGACGGCGGCCTCAAGTTGCTCCAGATCACCGACAATGGTCACGGCATCGATGTATGTCTTGATGTTCTCAGAGTCATCACATGCTGACTTCCCTCAGAAAGAAGACCTGCCAATCTTATGTGAACGTTTTACTACTTCCAAACTCAAGGCATTCGAGGACCTGACTTCTATTGGGACGTACGGCTTTCGTGGCGAGGCGCTGGCGAGTATCAGTCACATTGCTCATCTCAAAGTTACTACGAGGACAAAGGAGTCGAGCTGCGCGTGGGAAGCGCATTTTGCGGATGGTAAACTTTCAAGTGCGAAGCCTGGCCAGAGTGCCGAACCAAAGCCTAAGGCTGGCCGACAGGGCACGATCATTACAGTATGTTCGTCCTCCCCCAGCGCTGTGGCAGTAACTAACGAGGTGCTAGGTTGAGGATCTCTTCTACAATGTTCCTTCTCGGCGGCGAGCTTTCCGTTCCGCTAGCGAAGAGTACGCGAAGATTCTCGAGCTCATCGGACGTTATGCTGTCCACTGCGCAGGCGTTGCCTTTTCCTGCAAGAAGGCAGGCGAAAACAATAGCATAACCGTACCTGCTTCTGCTACCGTCAAGGACCGGATTCGAACGATCCATGGCAATTCTGCTGCAAGCGATTTGGTAGCCCTGAACGTCAAAGACGACCGCTGGGGCTTCAAGTGCGACGGTTGGGTCAGTAACGCAAATTATACTGCGAAAAGAACAGTAATGCTGCTCTTCATCAACCACCGAGCGGTAGAGTCGCCCGCGATCAAGAAGAGTGTTGAGCAGACTTACGCCACGTTTCTACCGAAAGGAGCTCATCCGTTCTTCTATCTAAGTCTCGAAATCGAGCCACAGCGAGTGGATGTAAACGTGCATCCTACAAAACGCGAGGTTCACTTCCTCAATGAAGATGAGATCATAGCCGTCATCTGCGACTCGATCCGCGAAAACTTGAGTAAGGTCGATACGAGCAGGACTTTCATGACCCAGTCCTTGCTTTCAAACCCCAAAGTTCCTTTTGCAACGCCCATGAAGCAGATCATACCTTCGACCCCTGCCACAGGCGATGCATCAGACCGTAGCGGCCGAAGAGCGCCGCATACAGCGTCCAAAAAGCGAGACGAAACCAACCTTGTCCGTACGGATTCTTCAGCACGCAAGATTACGTCAATGTTGCAGCCGCAAAAGTCCGTCGAAGAGATTGCAAACGACGAAGAAGAGATGGAATATGAGTTCGCAGAAAAGGAACCAATGGCGTGTCGTCTCACATCCGTCAAAGATCTTCGTGCGGAGGTTCGAGATGCAATGCATAACGAGCTTACCGACATCATTTCAACGCATACGTTTGTTGGTATTGTCGACGAGCAGAAGCGAATAGCGGCTATACAAGGCGGTGTAAAGCTATTCCTTGTCGATTACGGTATGCTCTGCAACGAGTACTTCTACCAGGTCGGTCTGACCGACTTTGCCAACTACGGCAAGATACGCTTTAACCCACCCTTGCCGCTACGTGACTTACTCAAGGTTGCTGCAGAACAGGAAAAGAAGAATGCAGGCGATGCGGCAGACGAAATAGACTGGGATGAGGTTGTTGAAGTAGTGAAAGAGCAGTTGATCAGCAAGGCAGCGCTGCTGAGCGAATACTTCTCTATGGAGATTACACCAGAAGGCGAACTCTGCTCTATCCCGCTGCTGATGAAAGACTACACGCCCTCTATGGCCAAACTCCCTCAATTCCTACTGCGTCTTGGACCGCACGTTAATTGGAATGAGGAGAAAGGATGCTTCCAGACGTTGCTGCGCGAGATTGCTTCTTTCTATGTACCTGAAAGTCTGCCTCTGTCGCCCTCGGCACAAGCAGGTGACGATGGTAAAGGCAAGGCTAAGGTCCTTGAGGAAGATCCCGAAATTGCAGCAAGGCGGAAGAAACTCCTGCGAGCGATCGAGTTTACCATCTTCCCTGCTTGCAAGGCTAGGCTCGTGGGCACAAAGGGATTACTGCAAGGTGGAGTGATGGAGGTCGCGAATCTGAAAGGTCTATACCGAGTATTCGAGCGATGCTGATGGATGAAGAGCACAGAAAGGGATATGTAGCACCCGCGTGTACCGAAGTAGTAGCCACACCGGAGATTTGATGGGATGAAGCAATGATACAAAATAGCGAGCGCGCTGCGCGTTCTAATGCGGAGCGGGGTGGCCGTACGAACGCCACGAGATACTATTACTAGTCTGAATGCGAGACATGCACAAGTAAGAAAGGCATTCATAATCGATGCGCTGCGACAGTCAACATAAAACTAGTAGCAAATCTAGACAACTCGCCCGCTACCGCGGAGCTAAAGGAAGGAGCTAGGATCTCGCGGCTGCGAACGTCACCACAACGCTTCGATCTAAAACTCGCTAATACGTCATAGATGTCCCTTCCATCGAGCAAAAGCCCCTAACGAAAAGAATCGCAACAACAAATAAAAGCAATCGGCCGCCATGGATTTCCCAAGGATAGCAAGCTTTTCCAAGGACGACTTGTGGACGGTAAACTCACTCGACAGCGCTAGTGCTGTGTCGGTCCTTCCCAACTCGCCATGTCGCAATTAATCAATCGCATCCGCTTACCACGCGCTTTTCGCCCTCCAGCCCAAATCAACGCAGAAGAAGGCACGAATGGACACCCAGAAACGAATCGCGGGAAGACGGCGCCCAAGGAAGCGGAGAATGGCAACGGGAAACAGGAACAGTCTGAGATGCAACCTGTGGGGTTCTGGCATCCCGACCTGCGACAAGTACGCAACCGCGCATTCGTAAAATGGATCATCACGACGGCTTTCCTCATGGCATTCATCCTCTGTGTGCTATCGCTGTACTGGGCCGTATTTTTCAAGGTTGAAAATAGGCTGAGCCATTTACTGGTGTATGTCGTGGACATGGATGGAGCGGCGCCTTACGACAACACGGGAAACGCGCCATTCGTTGGACCGACCATCACGCAATTAGTACAACAACAGCTGAGCAGCGGCCAGCCGACGTTGGGATGGGGTGTTCGACCTGGTTCAGATTTCAACAACGATCCATTAGAAGTCCGACAAGCTGTCTATAACTGGGATGCCTGGGCCGCCATTGTCATCAACCCCAACGCGAGCGCGCTGTTGTACTCTGCTATCGCCAACGGGAATACGAGTTACGATCCCCTGGGAGCATGCCAATTGATATACCAAGACGCCAGAGACGACACGAACTGGTTTGATTTCATGTTCCCCATTATCAGCCAGTTTATGACGCAGGCCCAGAGTATGGTCGGACAGCAATGGGCACAGATGGCTATGCAGAGGGCGAGCGACCCAGCAGTACTATCGAACATTCAGAACGTACCCCAGGCCATCAACCCGGCGATTGGCTTTTCTGAGTTCAACCTGCGGCCTTTCTATCCATACACTGGCATTCCCGCTGTGTCCATCGGACTCATCTGTAAGACGCCTTACAACTCCCACCTTGGCTGTGGCTAACAAAATTCGCAGATCTCATCATCATATCCTTCTTCAGCTTCTCATTCTACATGCCCATCCACATGCAATACCTCAAGCCCGAAAACCACCCGCCTCTCAAGTTTAAGCAACTCATCGTCTGGCGATGGTGTGCTACGATATGCGCCTACTTCATGCTCTCCCTCGCCTACTCCTTCGTATCCATGGCTTTCCAAATCAACTTCTGGCATACCAACTCCATCACCAGCGAAACGCAGGTTACAAATATGATGGAAGGCAACCCGGTAGCGTATGGAAGTGGTACGTTCGTCGTGTACTGGATGCTCAATTTCTGTGGTATGATTGCGCTGGGACTGGCGTGTGAGAACGTGGCGATGATTGTGGGTATGCCGTGGATGGGACTGTTCTTGATCTTCTGGGTCATTAGCAATGTTTCCACTGCATTTTATGATATCGAGATCGCGCCTGGGTTCTACAGGTGGGGATACGCTTGGCCGCTACATTCAAGTAAGTCAGACCTGCTCCACATCAGGGTGGTATCAGCTACTAACGTCAAATGCGTAGTTGTCGAAGGCAGTCGATCGATACTTTTCGATCTACATTCCAGGATAGGACTGGACTTCGGTATTCTGCTTGCGTGGGGAGCAGTCAACACGCTGTTCTTCCCCTTCTGCTGCTGGTTTATGAGTAAGTCTCTTCTGCACACCGGGGCTGTTACACATACTGACTTTGGACAGGATGGAAAACACAACACAACATCCATGAGTATTGGCCTCTCGACTAGAACAGAAGCGCTATTGTCTTCTACAAGCCACATCATCTTGGATGTTCACAATTGTCAACATAGATCATAATGTATACACAATAATACTCGTACTCATGTTCCGTTTTCCAATTGGCACTTTGTTCTCATCACCCGATTTCAGTGTTGCAGCATGACAAATGTACAAAGATAATATTGCGGTATAACGAGGGTATCAGGTCTGAATAATAATCATAGTGCTAGCTGGACCAACTCCACGCTGCTCGTGTGTCGTGTTGTACTCGTAATTCATAACTCATTATGTACTTCTCTGTAAACGTACCACCTCAACTGCAGCATCTGTCATAGGTTCATGGACATCTTCCTCGCTCGGACCGCTTGTAAGAATGCTCCGTAGCTCCAGGTCAGATCGTTGGCTCCCCTCATGTAACCCGTCACGCGGTCGAATTGCTCACTCATGCTTCCCTCAGCATCAACGTGCGTCTTGATGACCTCGAGGAATTGGTCGGCAGTGGTGTGCAGGCGCTCAATGACGGAGTGGAAGAGCGCGTCGGAGTCACCGTAGGTACCAACATCGACGAAGAGGGAAGAAGTTGCGAGGAGAGCTTCGAAGAATGGTAGACCGGTGTTGGAGATGGTTAGGTTACCGGCGACAGAGATGTGTGCTGCGGTGCGGTAGAGCACCTCAGCGGCTGACGAAGTGCACAAGAACCAGGGATTGCCACCACGGTTCGAGGTTCCGTATCCGTCGTAAACATCCTCGGGGTATCGACCAAGGCCAGTGCCTTCGAAAGAATCTTCTTCTATGTCGTCATCCTGGTCATCATTGGAAGGGCTGCTATTGATCGGGAAGCGATCGCGTTGGTCGCGAGTCAGAGCCAGAAGCGACATGAGCATCTCGTCAGACCATGGTGGATATACAACATCACTTTCGGAATCGCCTGCGGGTAGAGCGTGGAGCGAACCAAGGAGCAACCCACAGTCCAATCCGCTGCGCTGGCTTGACAGTGTCTCAACAAGATGGCCTTTCTGGGCATCCCAGAACTTGCCGAGGAAAGCCTCGATGTACCCAGCTTGCTCCTCGTACCAGGCCGCTGCACCCATGTCTCCGAATGTCCTTGCAAGGTCGGTGCCTTCCCTCAAACTTCTTGCGCTGACCATCAAGTTGAAAAAGTGCAGACCCTCAACTTCCTCCCAGAGATCGAAGCTCGACTGATTCCAGAAGTGGCTGACGTACTCCAGGTCAGCCTTGATGACACTACGTGGAGGCATCTCCACGGCATAGTATGGTCGGAAGAAGTCTTCAGCTGACTCCGAGCTCCAGAGCAAAGGGTGTGAAGCATTGTATTCGCGTAGATAGTGCATTAGCGTCAGCGCACGCAGGGCTGGGCCATCACGCTGAGGGCGTCCCCATGAGCCAGTAAAGGGTGTTCCGTCTACGTGGAACTTGGGTTCACCAAGCCCAGAAAGATCGTCAAAGGTACCGGAAGGGTTTGAGGTATGCTGGATATTGCTCGAGAGGGAGGTATACGCGTCGAGGACGTTAGAGAGTGCGGACCCGCGAGAAGAGGACGGTTCGTCGGCGTAGACATCTACGAGGGTGTTCATAGTGATCGCAGCATCGCGAACCCCTGTTCGAAGTGTATTAGTAGACGCTCAGTGGTAGGTATAGGTTGGTGTCACTCACATTGGAACCAGTAGTCTGGCTCGTCCCGACTCGGACTCGCTATGACCGTGCCATCGGCTACGCCCTTGCCTTGGATATTACTGCCACCGGGTGCGACATTTGCCAGGAGTTTGTCCAGAGCTATGCGCTCTTCCTTCTCGATCCATGCATCGAACGTGTCTTGCAGTGGTTGTTGCTGTGTTTGTGTTCGACTGGCGCCAACGAAAGTACTCAGCGGAGGGAGACGCGGTATTGAGAAGGCATAGGCGTGGTGGAGGAAGCCTGCAAGGAGGACTACGCGAGGAAGCATGGCAGCTGACTGTCGGATTGGCTGGGTAGGGCCGATGGACTAGGACACTGGAAGAAGTGTAGTGTAGTTAGCAGTTCATAACTAGCGCACAGTGGAGCAGAAAACAAAATGAGGAAGCAGAAAAGAGATCTCGTGGAGTCTAGGTGTTAGTAGTCGATCAAAGAGACACAAGAGCCGCCCATAGCCCCCGAGGCCCAAGGCGTCCATGCTCTGCGCTTCGGCGGTCATCCCTTTCATCGGCCGTGGTTCTCGATCACGATGATGACGGTAAGTCGCGTGCCAGGACTAGTGGAGTGCGTGGACGAGTAGGAGGCGGTGGACGGGGTCGCGCGGGCGGTCAATTGTCTTGTTTGACATGGCGGGTGATGTGTAAAATGCCACGCGAGCCGACGCCAACAACGTCACGCGACCCACTTCCGCGGATCTGGGGTAAGCATGCAAGGCACCTTCTGGCTGGGCGCGACACCAGAACATGCCGAGGTCTGCGCATAGTCGCACATGAAATTCGGATATGAACACAAGAAGTAAATGATGTCGACAGATGATACAGTGTCATTCAATGACTGTTTTGTCCGTTGGTTGACTCGTGGCATGGTACTTCTCCTTGTCTAGATCATGCCGAGGTACTACGGACTGCTCATCATTCAGACTAGCTGAAGCGCGTCAGCTCTGGCCGATGTCTGTCGACTATCGGTCTTGAATCGTAAGAAACACCATGATATGAGATGGCTATAGCCCGTATCGACAGCTTTCGATGGATTCCGACGTTCTCCGAGGTCCGGACGTATGAGGGGTCCAGTCGGCTACTTGCATGTAGCCGCAATGCACGTCGGTTGTTCCCGTCAT